TGCACAATAGGAACGAAGTCTAGGGGAGCTAAGAGAAAAGTATCTCGGAAACCGGAATGTCAGGAGGTTACCCGTCATCCCAACCAACCACCTACTCGGATAGTCATAGTTGGACGTAGCATCCTGCACACACTGCTGCCGTCGCAATGCATGAAGAGCCTCTTAAATGTGGCTGATGATCTAAAAGTAATATTTACACACTTTAGCAGCCTGTTTCGAAAAACAGAGTTCTGCAGTTGATAAAATTCACTGACGACATGGATGTATTTCGTGGATGGGTAACTATCGGGAGATGGCAGCCGAAAACTTCGTAACCTAGAAATAATACCTACTCTATCTATTTGAGTAGGTTGTAGACCTACATATTTGTTGTTTCATCCGACCTCGGTTTCATTTGAACTGCAGTCTACATGTTTCTTCACCTGGATGCACGCTCAAATTCCAGTTGATATTTCCGCACATGTCATTCACAGACCCCTTAGTACTTGTGGTTCTTTCGCCTCCACCTGATTTTCCTGGTGTACGAAAAACTCGTGGTCAACAGAATTGGGGCATTGATTGTATGCATAACTGTCCCTCACAGTTTCTGGAACTATTTGGCTGTACGTTTACGAGCACATGCAATGTATTGGACGACATCCTGAAAGACCATGTCCTTGAAGAAGTCGAATTCCGCAAAATCGCCAACCTGTATGACAGCTCGACAGTCGTCTTTGACGATATCCACCGTGTGTTTTATAGCAGAGTGAAAGCACGGACGGTGACTTGCGCATGCTTTTTTTATAGCGGCAGTGGACTTGGGCTGCATCCACCGCACTCTCTTCTCTCCCCCCCTCGCCTGGGCCCAGCGACAGGGAGCAGGTGGCTGGCACGGCGAGATTGCAGGTCTGGGTTTGCCATTACACCCCCTGGTCCACAACGTACACTGACCGCGGTTTTACGCCAGGATGGAAAGGGGGGCGAGGCTCCGATCCTAATCGGCGCGGTGTGAGCCTGCACCTGGGCCTGCCGCCACATACCCTGAATTTTGGCATCTGTTTTGGATGCGCATTTCCAATAACGCCGGCCGGACGCTCTGTAAAAAATGACCACGTAAGTAGGATAAATTTTCTCATTTATTGTCCATGCCGAGAAAAGTCCAATTATATTTAATGAAAAACATGCATAATAATATTCATTCTTTTGCTCATTCGGTAGATAATTACGTCTTCTTCTAATTTTATGCTCGAAAGAAGGGTATAATTCGGTTTTCGAAAACGTTTACAATTCCCGAATAATTTTTAACCCGCTCTACCGTTACACTTGGATTCAGGCTTTCCAAACTATAAGCCGTATATTTTCCGCGCACAGAAAACCACACATTTCTCTACGGTGCTAAAGGGGGACCATATAGGGTTCATAAAATTAAGCAGTGGATTTGATCCATATTGTAAACTTTACAAGTCACATTGGTAAATTCAGAAACATGGGGATTTATGAACGGCCATTTCACGGTATGTCAAAGTCCCACAATGGGAAACTCTTTTTAAAACCGAAATATGTCCCTCCTTCGAGTATAAACTTGGAAGAAGACATAATTTTCCACCGAATGAGTGAAAAAATGAATATTTTTATGTGTGTTTTCCATGAAATATAATTGGACTTTCAGGCGCTTCGAAAATCAATGAGAAAAATTCATGCTCCTTACGCAGTCATTTTTTACAGAGTGTATTTTTCGCATGCAGCCGGAAGGAAGTTCATTCGAAAGCCCGCATCCTGACGTGACTGAATTATTAGAGAATTATGTTGCAGGCTAATTAGTTTTACAACCCTACTTAATTAATCTTTTCGGAATGGAAACGCATTTTGGAATTTCGGTTGACATTTCATGAGTTAGCCCACCTACTGTATGAGAGAGCTCCGAGCGGGATCTAGACATGTCAAACAACAGCACAGCAATGAGATCACCCTCTGAACTCCTCCTGGTGGGCGCCTTCATGGGTAAAATCAAGAAGCCAGATATACCCAGCCAGAGAGCACCTCCAGTCCTATGCCTAACACTAGAATATTTCTGTGGTAGCAAATAAAAAGCCTGGTTTGGGCAACCTCCCGCAAAAAAGTTAATCAGATTCGTCCAGAGTTAAGTCTCGGTTTGGAAAAGTAGAGGGCAGTGAACGTTTCCTTTATGAACGTCAGTAGGGCGTCCGTAGGGACAATTCTTAGAATTGTTCTTCACAGGAAGGCATGAACGAAGCAATACACAAACTTTGCTGTTTTTCCCGCCCAGTCATAGATGAAGCTAAGTCCACTGGGTGGCCAACCGAGTTAGGAGAATACGTTTCACAGATACCCCGAAGGATGAAGTCGTCTGAATACGGAGCACTCTACAAGAAAATGGCTTACCGGCAGGTTAATCACAAGATACCTGCACGGGCGTCTGTCAAATGTGGACTTACTGACGACTGAGAAGAAGCAACCACTATTTACATTTTTCGTGAGGGGGACACCCTACCAACAAATGCATGCGTTGCCCAAATCCCACCATTGCGCACGCTTAAACAGCAGTGAAGATCAGGCTGATTACCACAAGCATCCCCTTCTTCGCCTAGGAGGCAAGGATAGACTGCTGATTTGCATATTTTCAATATGGACTTACACTTTCACTTGTTCCTGTAGAGTAGGCCATATTGCTCGAACGGCTAGTCAAAACGGATACAAGAGCACCAAGCCGCTTGGATCAACGAAGGCGCCTCAAGATCAAAATCCTGCAAAGCCGTTGCGACTGAGTAGACGTCAATCAAACCTTTAGTGTCACCTACGAGATACCAGTGAGATTCCCATGCTAGCGCATACTTGCGACACAGGTGTTGGCCATATAATTAGACAGCATGCTTTTTTGCTCTCAGGAGACACTTTATAAAACCCTCTAGTTACTCTGACCCAAACTGAATCCCATGCATTCCACACATCGCATCATGGCCGCTGGATGACGTCTACCGCTTCCCCACGAAGTGAGTTCAGTGGCGGCGACTTGTGCGCGAACAAGTTCATTGTGAAGCTGACCTACGGAGCATCCACCGCACCCCCCCCCTCCACCACCCAGCTTGCACCGAGGGCAAGTCAAAGTCAAGACGATTGGAGGGCTGGCAGGGGTGTAGGGATGTCCAGTTAGGGAATGCAGTGTGCAGAAGTGACAGATCGCTCCATTTGCTTCGTGCAGGTAGTGGGTGCTCCGCACAGTCATTACAGACCATCCAAATCTCATCTGCGGCTAGCTGAAGTGGCCATTTCCCGAAACTCGCCTCCACTGGCGGATT